AAAATATTTTTCTAACATTTTCTTTTACATTTAATGTGCCTTTTAATAATTAATTTTTAATAAAAAAATAAAGATTAATTTTAATTTATTAAGAATTTGTTTAATCTGTTCCTTAAGAGTATAAGTTAAACTTCATTAAATGTAAAATCTGTAATTAATTTTGCACAAATTTTTATATCAAATTCTTATATTTTTACAAATTTCGATTATAAATATTATATTATATTCAATTTTACATTTTTATTTTATTTTAATTAAATCTAATATAAAGATTTATATAAAATTAATTAAAGACACTATATTTAATAAAATTTTACCTATATCCTAAGAGCGCATATTAGAAAATTTTATTTATTAAATATACAATTAAAATCATTAGCATAAGATTGACTTAGAAAATGATTAATTGTTAAAAATTACATAAATGCACTATTTTGTTTTGTTTTGTTTTGTTTAATTTAAATAAATAAAATTTTGTGTAAAAATGACAATAGTGGTGTTGGTGGTCCAATGGTGAAAACTCCAAAATATGTGTTGAGGGAGTGGGGTTCAAATCCCCTTGTGCACAAATTTGTTGAAAAGTTCTCAAAATTTGTGAACTGAATAGTTCATCGGTTCAAAAGCCAATGGGTCTGAATAATTCAACATTAGCAAAAGATGTGACATAGCAAGTATAAGACTAGCTTATACCCGAGAAGGTTATCCAAGGAGTAAGACACTCAGGAAGGCTTCAATATTTGCTTTACAGAAGGTCGGATGCAATGTTAAAATGTCATTACTTTGGTTAGGAGTGGTAGATGGGAAATATATCATAAACATGGTGATGTTAGAACATAGCCATAAGCTCAACCCCTCCAAAGGTAGTTGTTTCATATACAATCAAACCTTTTTGTTAGGTGTGAAGAAAACACTTGAGATAAATGATAATGTAGGAATAAGATGTGTACTAACTACATAAGTTTAGTGCATGAATATGGTGGATTTGAGAACATGAGAGTAAATGAGTGAGATTATCAAAATTATTTGAACTAGTAGAGATAGTTGAGGATTGTAGAAAGGGATGGAGAAGTTGTGCAAAGGTACTTTAAAGTCATGAAATGCCAAAGTCCAAACTTCTTCATCTAGATAGAAATGGATACAGAATGTTGTGTTAGCAACTTGTTTTGGGCTGATGGGAGGACCCAAATAACATATCAATACTTCAGTGATGTTGTTGCATTTGATACTACTTATCTTACAAATAGGTAAAAATTTAGAAATAGGAACTATGTAGAGTCATTGGTGCATAAGAATTTAATTCTTATAAACAAATAAAACTTAAGAATAATGATATATACACCTTGCATAGTTACACACTCCGTTACATATTAATAGAAACCGTTAGTGTATAACAGAAATTGTCAGTTTTAATGACATAAGTAACAGAAACTGTCAATTTTAATGGCACAAGTAACGGAAACTGTCAATTTTAACAATACAAGTAACGGAAACCATTAGTGTGTAACTTTTGTAAAGTGTACCAATCATTTTCCAAAACTTAAAGGTTAAAACCCCAATTTGGTCACTCTACTTTGGCAAAAAGCCCCATTTTGGTCCCTAAAGTTCGAAGTGTGACCCCTTTTTAGTCCCTCCATTTAGTTTTGATGTTAGATGATGGAAATTTCAAAGGAGAAGGACCAAAAAGGGTTTTTTTTCCAAAGTAGAGGGACCAAATTGAGGCTATTTTAACCCCTTTTTAGCCCATTTTGGTCTCTCTACTTAGAAATTTTCATCATTTAACATGCCACGTATTCAAAACTTAACAAAGGGACTGAAAAGGAGCTGGACTGAAAAGGAGCTGGACTTCAAACTTTAACGACCAAAAGGGGGATTTTTAAGTAGAATGATTAAAAAGGAGCTTTTTACCAAAGTAGAGGGACTAAAATGAAGATTTAACCAAATTAAAATAAAACCAGACATTATGTGTTGGTATGATTGGGTAATCCTTTTTGTCTTCCAATTATGTAGGTATGATATGCCATATGCTTCATTTTGTGTAATGAACCACCACAGGTAAACAATAATGTTGGTTGTGGGTTCTAGTAGTTGAAACAATTATATGACAAGTGGGAGATATGGGCCTTCACTTTTTTGACAAATACTTCCTAGGTAGGATTGTCTTCAACACAATGGAGTGAATACCTGAAAGTATTTTTTGATGGTTATGTAAATGGACAAAGAAGTCTAACTTCTTTTATGGAACAATATGCTATTGCATAGAGGAAGAAAATGGAAAAGAAGGCAGAAGCATATTTCTATTCATGTCAGACAATTGTTCAATGTGTAACAAAATTGGACTATGAGAAGTGATACCAATTTGCATACACTCAATTAAAATTCATAAAATACATGGTGAGTTGAAAGGAATATTGGGAATATTTCCTAAATAAGTTGGGAAGGATAATTGGTGAAATGTATACCCATGCGAAGATGGAGCAGGTAGGATAGAAAAGGTGCAGTATAAAGTAGAGAAAAGTGAAGTGAGATGCACATGCAAGTGTTTTGAGTTTAGAAGCATGCTGTGTCATCATGCATTTGCTGTGTTACTAAAACAAAGAGTGAAAGTGGTCAACAGAGTATATATTATGGATCAATGGTGCAAAGATATATGGGAAATCTATAATTATAAGAGGTTTTACTAGGTGGTTTGCAATAAAATGCTTAAGATACAGAGGTACAAAGAGCTTTGCCTTGTATTTTTACAAGTAGCGAAGATGGTATTTGAGATGGTAAAGATGATTACTTAAGTGAAAGATCATGCAAATAAGATTGTTACCCACCTAACTTCATGGAAGAATGAAAAGGAAAAGGAAATGACAAAATGTGATTTGATGAAGGGGTCTATGTTGAAAAGGGTAAGGAAAAATGTAAGAGATGTAAGAAAAGTAACAAGGGCTATTACTAATAAAGAAACCATTCCAGCCAAACTATCCATTTTGAATCCAACATGAAAAAAATGGAGGGGTAGGCTAGCAACACCTCAAATGAAAACCTTCATAAAGAAGGTTGTGACTCAATTCAAGAGGAAAAAGGCAAGAGAATATAGTGAATCAATAGGAGGCGTTGAACAAGTTGGAAACAAGGTAATATTATATTGTTCTTGGAACCAATTTTGGTTTCTACTAAAGCTAATATTATATTGTTCTATTAAGTCACCACAACCGTTATAAATGTGGGTCCATGGTTTACATGTCACTTATTCTATATAAACCATGTGTACTACTCCAAAATTTTAGCACTTATGTGGATTAATTAATTAATTAATTAATTTAGATAGGAGATGACTAGTATAAAAACAGATTTTAATGGGGGACCTAGCTGTCTCATTCTTTAATCTTGGGGGAAGTTAGCTGCAAAAAAAAAAAAGAAAAAAAGAAAAAAAAAAGGGGGCTTTGGATGAACAAATTAAAGGGGAAGGAAAAACCCAATTCTCTTTTGGGTTTTCTCCTCTTTAGGGTTTCTTCTTCTCCTCTATTCCAACTCCAAATCATAATCTATGATGCTTTTTCTTTTCCTAATCAAGGTAAGGGCTTGATCTCTCCTTGTCCTATCTCTCTTGAGAATGAAATTTAACCTAGAATTTCCACTTATAACTAGTATTTTCTAGAAAATATCAAGATTTGCTGTTGTACATTCCTTGAATGCCCAGTGGGTGCTCCTTTTGCAACTTTCTAGTAAGTAATCAATGATATTACTCATCTTTTACCTTTGAATTGAGTTGGGTTATCTTTAATCCTATTAGCGTTTTCAATTTGGGGTTTATTTCTATAGTTTTCCTCCTTGGTTTTGCCCTAGTGGCACAAGATCTGATCTGTTTTACTAGATTTGGATAGCATGACATATCTGTAGTTTTTTACCCATAATTTTGTCTATAGTTATTGGATTAAGTTGATTTTTGATTCTATAGAAAGCTAAGAGGTAGCCCTACAATTTTTATGTTGAACGCTTAACCTAGTTAAGCTATTTTCATGGTGAAAAACCTTCTGCAAGTTTGATTCTCACAAGTAGACTTAAGTGGCAGCTTGACCCTATGTTAGTATTTTGGTCATAACTCTGTCTGTAGATTCCGGATTAAGGTAATTCTTAATGCTATAGAATGCTAATACATAGGGCTATAATTTATCTGTTTACCACTCAACCCAAATCAGTCAATTTCTAGGTGTGCATTCTGTTGAAAATTCCAGCATGAAATTTGACTAGAACTTGCTAGAAATTTGCTCTATTTCTGTTTCATTTCCACTCTATCTGCCGCTACATTGCATCCTAGTTTTAGTAGACTTTAGCTGCTATTTTGCTGCTCTGAAACCCCTTGATATTGCTTTGTTTTGGCTGCCTTTTGCTACTGCACATTTTGCTTGAATGCTACCTAGTTTGTCTTGTAGTCTACATTATGTTTCTACTATTTTTACCCAGATTCTTTGCTGTTTTTACCTAGAGAATCCCTATTGTTCTATCCTAAAATAATATCTGATTTTTGCTCCTGTTATCCATTTCTGTTGCCTCAGTTCTAATTTATTTAGCTTTTGAAATATATATATAACTATCCACTACTTGAAAACATGTATTATTGCTCGTTTTTATGTTGTAATAGCAAAACCTGTTCATGTATTTTTTGCACTTAAATCATGCACAAGCTGTCAAATTTTAAGTTTGTTTAGCTACAACATTTTTTGCTTAAAGGCTGTCCATTCTACCCAATTTTAACCTATTTTCTGTTTTGTTTTTGCTATTGTTTTTGCCAGAAATTCTACTGGTGTCTAGTATAGTTTTGGACTTGGTTTTCCACATTTTTTTGACTTGGTTCTGCCCAGCAAATTTGCTTGGTAAATCTACCTTTGTAGTGTCCTTTTAGGAGCTGTTTTAGAAAGGGTAGAGGTGATTGGAATGTGTAGGAAGAAGTTTCTTCTTTGTTTAGGAAACTTGATTTTGGGTTAAGAACCAAATTAGTTAATGAATATGTTGTAATCTTTTTGTACTTTGATGTGGTATAGGTTGGAAATCCCGTCAATTGTCTTGAGATTCTTGAATTTATTGCTAATGTCTATGTACAAGGCGAGGTAAGTAAAATTTTGGTGAATGCCCTTGGATTTTAAGGTAAAGGATTTTAAAAGTATATTTTAAATTGTTTTTTGAAGTGGTGGCGGGACTAAACCCGTTTACACAAACACGAGCTTGATTGGTTTAAAAATGGAGTTGTTATCATTATTAATTTGAGCATGCCTACTTGGAATTTTCTGAACTGTTCTAATAACCTGAAATTTGTTTATAAAATATGGACTTTCTTGTTAACTTCTGTCTAGTTTTGTCTCCAATATGGTCATGTTATTCTTGTGCCCGTTAGTGGGAGGTTCATAAACGCTAGCACATGTCGACATGTTATAAAATCGGTTCATGTTATATCTATTATCCTTGTTTGTGGGATTGTTCACTAATAATCTTGTGCCCGCCAATGGGAGGTATAGAAACATTGGCCATGACCTATAGAGGAGACGTTTATTTCATTCTCGTACTTGTACTGTTTTTTTTTTTTTATTATTATATATATACTTGATTACACTTATTGGCATGCTATAACTTCAATTAAGGGAAATCCATATTTTACTTATTGAGATATCTCATGATTTTTCCTCGTCTACCATTTCAGGTAGCGAAATCAGGGACTCGAGAAACCAAGGGGAGTGTGTGACGAGCTAAAAGGCTAGTTACTTATGTTTTGGAATTAGTTTGTTTTGAAGATAGGCCCATTAGACTAATCATGTTGGATTAAGATTTTGTTTTGAGATTTTATGGTATTAGAGTAGATTATGTGGTATAAACAAGTTTGGAGCCTTGTGCATTTGTGGGATCCTCTCATAAGTGCACGACATCTATTTCGCTCTCAATTTTGGTTCTGGGGCGTGACACCATGATTCTTGCTCTTATTCCAAACATCATACTTTTGAAATGCTAGTGACACAATCAATGTAGTAAGGAGATCAAATTTGCATTAATAAAGGAAGTTCTAAAGATTAGCAATGTTGATGGAAGACAAGGGGCATTAGGGTAAGAAAACAAATGTAATACCCCAAAATTTTTTGATATTTTAGCATTAAGTTAAGGACTAAATTGTGAAAAAATATTGTTTTGGGCTTAATAGCCAAAATTTCAAAGTTCAGGGACTTAAAAGAGGAAAATTAGATAAGGATCAGTTATATTTTTCCTTCTTTCTCCCCAGCCATTTTCACGATTCTGCTCTTCTTCTTTTCCTCTCCCCTGCACCGAGGAAAGCCCCCAAGCTGCCAGCAACAATTCCCTTGAAGAAAAACCGGTAAAAGCTTGGGGATTTCTCTTTCTTTTCTTGTTCTAGAACACATGTAGAACCCAGAAATCTCTACCCCTCTGCTGAAATTCCAGATCTGCTCAGTTTCTCCCCCTCCCTTGTCCGTGAGTTGCAGCTGGTGATGCGAAATTCTGGGCTTTTTTCGGTCAGAACAGCCATGATTTCATCCTTTTAGCTTTGATTTAAGTTGGGTTTACTCTAATTCCTCTTGGTCCTCCAATTTTGGGTGGTTCCCGTGAGTCCCCTGCAGCTTGCTGCCGCCAGCTTCTCCCCCTGCCAGCTCTGGTTTGCTTGCTGGAAATTCTGGTATGTTGACAGCCCTCCAAGCCCCGAATTTGTCCATTTATTTGCTGCCTTGTGTGTCCAAAATTCTGCAGAAAAATGGGGATGAATTTGATAGTAATTAGACCATGATTTAGCTTAATTCATGTGTAAAATGCTTGAGTTGGCTGCTGTGATTTTTGGAGAGAAAATCCCGTGAGATAGGCTATGGTTTTGCCAATTTTGGATGTGTAGTCACTGTTCACGGGCACTGTTCACGCACTAATGGCCAACAATAAGAGGGTTTAAATGTGTGGTTATATTGAGAATAAAATTGAGATATTCGGTTATATGGGTATTAATTTTTGGATATTTGATTAGGTTCGTGATTGTCCTATCACCTGAGCACTTGGCTTGAGTTTCCAATTTTATGTGATTTGAGGTAAGTAAATTTATGCTAATGCCCGTACAGTTTTTAAAAGTATGTTTTGATTTGTTTTTGAAGTGGTAGTGGGATTAAACCCGTTTTATACAAAAGTAAGTATGACTGATTTAAAGTGAAATTTTTATGCTTTTCATTAAATTGAGCCTGCCTACTTGAAATTTAATTGACTGTCTTGATGATTTGAAAGTGATTGGTGAATTATGATTTTTCTGTTAACTTCTGCCTGTTTTGTCTCCGATATGGTCATGTTATTCGTGTGCCCGCTAGTGGGAGGTTTATAAACACTAGTACATGTCGACATGTTACTAATAGAATCGGTTCGTTCCTGTTATCCTGCTAGTGGGATTATACACTAGTAAATCATGTGCTTGTCAATGGGAGGTTTATAACATTGGGCCATGACCTATAGAGGAGATGTCTATTTTGTTCCCATACTGTATCTGTTTTTCGTGATTGTACTTGTTGGCATGCTTTAAGTTTGATAAGGGGCACTCCATATTTACTTACTGAGTTTATCTCATAGTTTTTTCTTGTCCACCATTTCAGGAAGCGAAACCGAGAACGGGGAAACCACGGGAAGTGACGAGTTAGAAGTCTAACCATTTCGAGATTGATATAGATTTTAGAAATAAATCATGCTTTTGTAAGATAGATTTTACCTTGAATTTATGAGATCAAAATAGATTTTGGTCATTAGATCAATTATTTGGATTTAAGTCATTTTGGATATAAAAATAAATTGAGATATTTGATTTAAGTTATTGGATTGTCAGATGTAAATGGGATAAGTTTCGAGCCTTGTGTATTTGTGGGATCCTCTCACGAGTGCATGGCGTCTGTCACGTACCCAGATTTGGGTTCTGGGGCATGACAAAAAACATCAAACTAAGATGATGGGTCATCCAAGCAGTTCCATAATGATTGGTATCCAAGTAACAAGCAATGGTGGGAACAGTTATGATGAGAACAATCAATTGGGTTATACTACTTGTAGCACACATTAGTGTAACAACTGACTTAGAATGAAGAACATTGATAATGCATAAGGTCAGATGTTAAGCACTTGTAAGTGTTTGATCATAGTGTTATGTATATATAGGCAACTCCACTAATTGCTTCTGTATAATGCTAATATTACAAGGTACTGTCACCATGCTATAAAAAAAAAAAAAAAGATGGATTCCATAATTATTTATATTCTTGATTATGTTAAATGATTGACGGAGGAGGAGGGGGGATGTTAGGTTGCAAAAGGTTGAACTAGAAGTGAAAAAAAAAAAAAAACAATATATGGAACTTTGCCGCACGCTTATTTGAGAGCTATACTTTAAACAAATGCGTTGAAGAATGACTCTTGAAATGGAGACTAAAGTTGGAGCTTAGGAACAATTACCATTTTATATTCCAATAGTCGTGGTGATAGTTAGATAACCAATTTGTCATTGACTTATACTAGTGTAAATGTCATGATGGAGTAATGCATAGATAATGTTCTATGAAGAAAATAAATACAGATGTATAGGACCCAATGTGAATCAAATGACCAATGAAATCCAAAAAAGTTTCTCACCTTCAATAATTTATTACTGCATTAAAAAGGATAAAGCATGTGTTTAGCCCTTGACCGTAGTAAATTTGAAATTTTTAGCTCCTTTATCCCTGAAGTTAAAAGTTTGAACATTTCTGCCCTTAAACCAACGAAAGCTCTCCATTAAAGTGAGAATAGAAAATTTACTTGATCAATCATTAGAGATTAAAGAGATGATAATTTAGTCTTAAAAATTACTATTAAAAATTTTTAGTAAACTAAAAAGATTTAATTGGTGACTTTCTTAGATGTAATAGAACAATATTAAATATTTGCAATCAAATTGAGCAATTAGCTAAATATATAAAAAGAATTTTGACTAAAATTAAAAAAGATTTTGGGTGAGTTAAGAGGGAAAGTCCAATAGTGTAAAATAATTCTTTAATCTCAATCAAGAAGAATACAGCCAATCAATTTTATTTAATCTTGGTTAGATTTTTTTATTTAGATCGAGCTACTTGAGTGATTTGATTGTAGATGGGTGAGGTTATTGCCACACCTTTTTAATGTAATTATTTATTATATCCTCACATCACACTCTTTTTCAAAAATTTATATTTTTTATTTCTTAATAAATTAAATGGTATAATAGTCAATTAAGATAAAAAAGTGTGGTATTAGTAGTTGAGGGTGTGGCAATAACATTACCCATTGTAGATATCTACTACTATTCTAGTTTAAGTGACAAGTCATTATGAAATTATTTTTAGTTTACCAATTTTATAAACTTTTAGACTTTTTGAACTAAACCATCACATTTTGGTCCTATAAATATTTTATTCTTATTTTAATGGAAAGTTAACAAATTTTGTTAGTCGAGCGGTTAAATTCTTCAAACCTTATAGGCCCAAAACTTCATAATATAAAGTGAGGGCTAAAGGCTTCAAAGTTAATAAAGTGAAGGGTTAAATGCATACTTTATCCCATTACAAAATCATTAATCAATAACAACTACCATCTATAGATAATCCTCCTTCAATATAAAACCACAAAATTCTAGATTTGTAGTACAACTTAAAGCTCTATATGGTTGGCCTATATACCCAGGTGTAATTGTCTGAGAACTAGACATGCAGTGAGCATGCATATTATGATGTTTTGAAGAACTATGAATTGATATAAGTCTCACAGATTTCCCATCAAATTAGGATGACAAGTAAACAAAGATTCATCCCTTGTTAACACAACTACAAAGAATTCAAGTTGTTCAATGATTTCGCAAACCAATATAGCGGACAAACTTTACAATTTAACCTTGTTGAATTGTAGCCTAGTTGTCCACTACTTCAACATAATGTAAACAATAATCCCTAAATGTTATATCTAGAACCCAAAAGACTAAAACATAGTTATAACCTTTAAACAATAAATTTCACTCTAACTAGTTGTCTCCAAGTACTTTGAAGGACAAAAACCTCAAGCATTTCAAGAGGGTTTTGGGGAAACAGTGCAAATGAAAAACCCTTATTATGTTTTTACTAAATATTTACTAATTTATAAGAAACTAGTTTAAAGTTTAACTTCTTATAGTCAAAACTAATCATGAATCTTAGAGATCCACGTTCATGTTATAGAGTCTAGATGTTACAAGACTACATTTGAAAATGAAAAGTTGAAAACTATTTACAAATTCCCAAGAGTGAATTTTCAAGAAAACCTTGAGCCACAATAAAATTTTGGGCAAATACAAGTTTACCTTACAAGCTTAAAGGAGCTTGCTTGCTCAACTTCACATCCTTATGCAACTCTTGGACTTCCAAGGCCATATAATCTTCTTAAGCTAATCTAAAAACAAGGTGAACAATACACCATGAGCTATACCTCTCAAATAAGCATAGCTTACAACAAACCATAACTGAAATCTAAATTTTAACTTAACAAGTTCCATCAATTAAATTACATTACTTTCCCATATAAGCTTATATCATCTTCACAATCAATTAGGCATAGGCAATCATCTTGTAAACAATCCACTTTCCCTAAATTCAAACTATCTAATTAAAGGCAGTTAAGTTCAATCCAAGTGCATGCTCACTTAGTATCCATTCTAAAACAAACTAGAATATATGTTCAATTACCTCAAGAAAAACAAAATTAATTCTATCAAAGAGTGTTCATCAATATTGAACAGTTTTATCAGCATAAGTATAACATGACATAAATACTTCCAAGAATCTAAGAAAATCGGCATACTAGCCTTATGCATGTTTCAAACATGTAGATGAACCCAAGTTTTTATCTATGGATTTTTCCTTGTGAGTGTACATCCCACCATACCAATGGTCCAACCAATGCTTCTTCCTATTGCATAATGGATCTAGATATCTTTCTTTACACTCTTAGTCAAACTAGGTTTGACCTAGCTCAATAGCTTAGGTATCATTTTAGATATCTTCTTTCTTTACTCCAAATATAATAGGAGCATCATTCTTTACTACAAGTAAACCTTAGGAGCAACATTATTCTTTGCTCCAAGTAACTTTAGGAAAATCATCATTCTTACTCTAGGAAACTTTAGAGGTACCTTACCTAGCCATTAACTAAGGTATAATATCATAGATTCTATTTAACATGTAAATGATGCATCTTTATATATATAGCATATCTCATTCTTAGCTCATATAAACATATATATATATAAGTCAAATAAATACTATATAACTAACACAGTTCCTTTCTTTCTTAAGCACAACTTAGAAAATCACAAAACTAAAGAAAAAGGCGATGCTTGACAAATATACAAGTCAGATAAATACTATATAATTAACACAATTTCCTTGTTAAGCACAACTTAGAAAATCATGAACCTAAAGGCAATGCTTGACTGATCATTATATAATCACCTCAACACTCAATAATCACCTCAACACAATTTCATCATCACAATCTCCTATTGTGCACTAGTTGTGAAGCATCAAGGATTCTATGCTGTAATCACAATGCTTGCCTATTTCTCATCAAACTTTAATTAATAATCAGTAAACTTCAGTAACAGATAACCTTGTAAATAAAACAACCACAATCATAAACTCCATAATTTTTCCAAATCAAAATTAAAAAAGAATTTCACACCTAAAACATCAATTTTGAGGCTACACTATTTGTAAGAGCCCACACACCCCTCACTTGATAAGCCTAGTAACCCATTGCGATCTGTTGCACCTTTTCTTCCACCTTATCATTTAATGTTACAGCAATCAAAGTATCTTAAACCTAAACAAAAAAAACTAAGAGGAGACGATGCTGCAACACAAAGGATGATGAAAATTAGAAGAGTTAGGGCTCTCGCAATCTATTTGGATGCAAGAATAGTTCAAAGGTGGATGGGTGGCTGCAAGGTTAGAGGTTTGGGAATCTTATTCCAACTATAATTGTTTATTTTATTGAATGTCTTACCAGATGTCAAATCAACTACTATGTAAATCATTTCCCAATCCTTTAACTTATTTGCCACAAGAATACTCTTATAGTGAAGTTAAAAACATTTTGGCTATGAATGTAACTTATCTATAGTTAAAATATTAAATTATTTACTATAAACATTTACTTATGGCAAAAGAGAAAACTATTATTTTTGGGAGAGAAAAAGATAAGTCCCCATTTATAACCTATTAAGAAACTAAAAAGGTTGAGTTTTTGACTTGTTAAACAAAATATCTAATAAAAAATAAATTAGTTAACAAAGAGATATATCCACATTTACAAAACAAGACAACAGAAGTATAATGTTTTAGCCAAGCGAACAAAAAATCATATCAATATACCTTATTGACCAAACATATGTGATAATATCAGTAGGCCCAAAATATAGTGAATAGTAACTAACATTGTTAAAGTTAGGGGTTTAATGAGCTATATAACTCATAATTCATGTAAAGGAGCACTATGCCAATGGGCTCAAACCATGCCCAAAACTTTGTAATGGCAATGTGGAATGATATGGCAATTAAGGAAAGAGCTTCATATTGATGATACAAAGAAAAACCACTAGGAAGTCACTTACAATGTTGAAGAAAGTAATGCCATGATTGCTGCCAATGGAAGAAACACGTCACTGCCAAGTCGAGAAAGGTTATATTATCAATGATAAATAATTTTTTGATGATGTAGATTATCACTAGCTTTAACTTGTGCTAAAGATGATGTGACACCCTAAATTTCATATAGGGATAAAAGTGAGAGTGTAAATGATATATAAATGCAGAAATTAGTTACTACTAATAACTTCAATTTACACTTTTAAGGTTTATGGATATTGCCTTGAAGAGTTGTTAGGCAAGTGGCAGGCTTTGGCTTAAGTCATTTTAGTTCTTATTAGAGCAATCACCTCTTACAAGTGTTGGCCTATGTTGATCCTCACAGTTGAGGGTAGTATAGACCCCACATCATTTTAGGTTGATTTTGTGCTTATGGCTTAGTGGGCCTTATTCTAATTATAATTGAGTATAATGAGAACATCAAGTGTTTAAGTGGGAGAGATTATGACATCCTAAATCCTACATAGAGATAGAAGTGAGTGTGAGTGGTATATAAGTGTGGATACCAATTATTATTAACAACTTGAGTTTAAACTTTTGAGGGTACATTAGTGGTCGGTTTTAGCACCAATATCCAAGCAAGTAATGATGGCTTGACATGTGTTGGGATTTATATTTGGCTCGTTGCAAAATCAACCCTCAAAAATGATTTTAATGGAATGAGTTTTATTTAGGTTTTGTTTAGGAGTGTTGTGTTGTGTTGTGTTGTACTGTGATATCCCCGTCCTTATTTGCAATAAGTTAAGGAGAATAAGCCCTTATTGGCATTAAGTTTAAGTTAGAGCCCTTCATCTCATCTAGAATTAGGGATAAATATATAATATTTGTTAATTAGGGGATTGCATGTTAATTTAATAAACTGCAGTCCTAGTGTTTATCTTAAGGAGACTTTAATGTAGTCCAGTTGTCAGTAACCTATTAAAATAAATAACAGGTTGTTGGGTGAGAAGTGAGCCAAGTGGGGGAGCATTTAAGACCCACTGACCAAAGCTTCTTGAGCCATATCACTTAATTAGCTAATTTCTTGCATTTTGCTTCTAGTTGGACCAAAAGAGAAAGAGAGGGACGGTGCAGATAGGCTAGGCAAATTTGGGGAATATTGAAGAATTCTTCCAAGCTCAAGATTTTGAGGGAAGTGTGTGGTAAGTGTATTTCTTAATTTTAAGTCAAGATTGTCAAACAAATTTAAAGGTAAATAAAACAATAGAATAAGCATAAGAAATTAGGTTGCTACAGTTTAAATCATATAACAGAAAAGAGAAATAACTACAGTAGTGAGTTGAACTGTGGAATCTTTATAGTTCAAGTGTTGAGATTAATATGTTATGTGTATTAAATTTTCTGGATCATGTTCAATGTATTTGACGTGGGCACTTCATTATAGCCTATTTCTATTAGTTGTACAGACCATATTAAGTAAACATTAAATATGTTATGCATGATTATGTGCTATATATGGTTCTATGATGTAATTGTCTTAAAACTATGGAGAGTTTGGACCCCAGCCGAGGCTTAGGGATTAGAACAGCAAACTAGTGGACCTTTACGCAGTAGGTAAGTGCTATGACTATCTCTAGCACCTAATGTGAGTGCATGCACATTTAGTGGGCTCTATAGTTTGTGTTATCTCTATTTGATGTGCTGTGTTTGTGTGATTATTTGTGACTGTAATGCCTTAATTTTCTACAAGGTTCATACAACTAAGAACTCAATGCATTTTTCTACAAAAGATACTAAAAATTAAATTATCAGCTTAACTTAAGATTAAGAATTATGCTTACTAGGCTGTGAGCTCATGGTGTTATCCTCACCATTTCAGATAGCAACAATGAAGAGTAACCGTCGTTCCTAAGAATTTTTGTGGGTGAAGGCCCTATGCTAACTATAAGTTGAGCTTCAAAAATCAAAAAGGCAAATTTATATTTGCCCAAAACTTCGATTTGGCTCTATAATTTTAAAACTGTCTATACTATATTGAGCTTAGGAATGGTATATAAAATGATTCTTTTGATTTTATAGATATTTTCTGCATTTTTTTTTCTTTCCTAGTTAAGCAGCACATCTCCCTACTTGATAGACCTATGGTTTTCTCAGAAAGGGGATGTTACATGTACTATGCTAGGCAGTAGTTGTAGTGTAGTAGTTGTTTTTTGAACTTATACTATCACAAAAATATATAAAATATTAATTAAAATTAATTAAAAAAATAAATTTATTTTTTAAGGTGCTCTGTGAAAAATTGTATGATGCATTCTAAAACAAAGCTTTAGAAATAAGATAAAGTTAAAAAAAAAAAAAACAAAATAAAACAAAACGTAATTGCTTGCGGGCTATTTTGGATTTGTGTTTTTATAATTATATTTTTCCAATTTCCCTATAGGGCTTAAGAAGGTGGGAAATTTCCCTCAAAATTTTGTGATCCATCCTAGTAAAAATTAAGCAAAACCCTACATTAAACCCCCAAACTTATCTTAAATTTTTTATTAACTTTCTAAATTTTTATTAAAACATATAAACTTGTAAATTTGGTGATTTAGGTAATTTAACCCATTTCTTTATAACAAACTTATCATTCATTTGTATTTTACTTGTGTGGATAAAATTAGTACCTAGCACGTAGGTAATAACATGTCTATATTTTGTCCACATAAACAAGACACAAACAAACATTAAATCCGTTGTAAAAAAAGAGGGTTAACTTGCTCATATTACCTACTTTAAGGATTTATTTATTTTAAGAAAAGTTTAGGAGTTTAATCATAAATCTAACATAAGTTTGGGGCCTTAATAATAGGATTTTGCCTAAAAATATTCCCTTAATCCTCTTTTCCTTAACAACAATTACCTGATTATCCTCGAATTCTCATCTCCACAACAACAATCTTCGTAAAAGCTCGGGCATGGGGAATAGAGTGTCAGTCCTAATTCGAAAGGCAAAAGATGTTTTATTTCAAGACCATTATTTATTTCTTGCAAAAAATTTCCTCTATACGATTATACCATATTTTTAGACCTATAAAGACAAATCAAAACTATTATATATGTTGCACTTGATTTCTTCGTACTACAAAGCACAACAAAAGAAGAAACAACAATATCATTGGATTCATTGAGTGTTGTAGGAGAAAAGCATCAGTCAAGAGCAAGCTAGTAATGTCTTTGTATTAGACAGTGAAGCCATCATTTTTTGTGTCATAGAGATTTATAAAGCACCATTAATCATATAGTCTGATTGTAGAATTATTCATTCCTATAGTTATAATTTTAGATTACAGGTCCTAATCTTTGAGTTAAAACAAAATTTGATTCTGCAATGTGAAGTCCAGCTATTGTTACCTCTCATATTAAGATAGGTAATGACTCACATGGCAGTGCTATGAATCTATAATGCCAGGGCTACAAGTTAAATAATTTATGCTCAAGAGCGTTTTCAACTTGAAATTGGTGATTGGCCTACTAATAACTATTTTCACATAAATGTTATTTGAATTTTTTGTTTTGTAATTCAAATTGTATTAGATTGTAAAATAAGTATCATTAAATGATATGATAGCACCCAATATCAAGGGTTCATCTCTAATCTAATAATAAATATTGTATAGTAAAATACAAATCAAATTGTATAATAATTTTTTATGGTATTTTTAATACAAAACTAATTATTGATGAAGGAAAATCCCTTGGTTGTGATTGTGAGCCCATCCTCTATAAATGAATGGGTTTTTGCAATCCAATGACATTTTATTGTACAATCAAAGTTATCACTATCTAAAAGAAATTACACACTACAAGAAAACCCAGCTTCACTGACCACATATCACCGAGATAAGAAGTTTTCCCGGTGAAGCATCCATTTACTGACAAGATATAAGTCTGCAACTTGAGAAACAGTAGAAATGACAGTAAGATATATTATTTATTTTACAGACGTAATACTCGTCGGTAATTTACCAAAATACATATGTGTTACTTGTCGGTAATTGTAACCAATACTCCGGCTGGTGGGGGAAGGACGGAAAGGCACATTACTGACGAGAAGTACGCCTGTAAATTCAATTTGGAACGAAACTCTCGTCGGTAATTGAGGATCAATTTCCAACGTCTATCTCCTCGGTAATTTCCACTCCCAATGCACCTCCCCCGCCAACCAGCTGGCTGCCTGCGTCAGGGGTGCAGCTTTTTGATGAAGTTTCCAACATAGTGCTTGTCGGTAACTTGCCCTTAGCAACTCCCCGTGAATCCGGCTGGTGGCCACTGGTGTTGCAGCTTTTAGTTTGTTTACCAATAAGATATAGGTCAGTAATATGTCCATTGCCAACTTGATGCTCGTCGGTGATTGTCCAGTCAACGAGAATCCTGATGCAACGCAGAGATGAGCAGCTTTAGACTGTAGCAATGTGGGTTTCGTCGATAAGCTTCCCTATTGCCCTGCCGACCCGCCCTTCTGCTTTCATTTTGGTCTTTCTCCTTTCATTTTCATTTTCCTCTTGTCTCGAGTTGCTCTTGCTCCCCTTTCCTCCATTCTTCCCTTTGAAGCAGTTTAACACATTTTTCTTGTTGCAATCTAGTGGATCAAGCAGTGGTAAGTAAAATTTAAGTAGTATTATTATTTTTTATATACTTTTTATATATTTTATGTATATTTTATTTTTTTTGAAATTTAAACCGTTAAATATTGTTATTAATTAGTTCATTAGATATTAGTTAATATTATTAGATTTTCTTTTAGATAAATTTGATGAATAGTTATGAATAATGTTTTTATAAATTTTTAGTGAAATTTCAACCATTAAT